CCCCACCCCACCCCGTAGCACCCGCCCCCCAAACAGTCTCTGCACAGCCCTGATGTTAGATAACATGCTACCCAGCACTATACGTTATCAGATGCAATGCGTTTGCACATCCAAGCCGTAGAAACTAATGTCAAAATATCTTCAGCTTGAGGCACCTAAGCAACATGGAGTTATGATGAAATGTGAAGCTACTGGATAAAGGGAGCAGGTAAAGAGGATCTTACTGCTTAGGATTCAAAGATCAGTTGTTAAAGTATGTGGGAGATGCCACATTCAGGATGGATACCATGGTGATAGACCTGAGAAAGCACTGGTTTAGCAAAAAATATCCCTTCACACAGCTGCGTGAATGGGCGACTGCGAGCAGAGCACTTCGTATTGGACACGACGGCCTGTTTAGCAAATATATAAAGCTGTGGTGGGTGGGGTGAGAGCACAGCTGAGGATGTTCCAGACAGTAGGAGCTGGCCTCTGGGGGAGAGGGGGGGAGGTGACAGCCATCATCCAGAGAGGAGCATGACTCCTCTGCCTTTCACCAAAGCAGCGGCGAAGAGGGCGCAGCGCAGGAGTGACCCTTTTATTTTCTAAAACAGGAAATGACTCCATGGTATAATTCTCTCAGCGCTTTAAACAATGAAGCTATTTCCTGGTCCACCCTTAAAATCCGTGGTCCACTTAGGCAAATATTTCTGGTAAAATAACAAGCTTAAATTATTTATATACACAGTATTTCTTTTATTTGTACAAAATATGTGCGTGTGAATGAGGTTTATATTACATTGTGGGGACCAAATAAGAGTTTTCACTCCACTTACATATACACTCAGATGGCAGCCCAAAATATAGAAGTAATTCATCTTATTCAATTATCACCATTGCCTCTTCGAGGACTAATCCATCTTAATTGAAGTCGCAGAGGAAATTGGATAGCTATGTGCATATTTGTAAATAAATAAATAAATACAAAGAGTTTGGGGAAAATATAGGGTGGCAAATGTGGAGCAGGAAGAGTACACTAATGCCTTAAAACACTGCAAACACAAGTCGATTCCTGAAAAGATTCCTTTGCATGTGTTTGCATCTTTATGAAATTTGGAGTTCCGGGTTTAACTGCAGATGAATGTAATGATTCAGTCAATAGAATTCATTGCATAAATAGCACAAATGACATATAAAGAGTGCTTCACTATGGAGCTCAGAAGTAAGTGCAAGATTCATGGACAAATTCCTCCTACAGTTTGAGTAATTATCAGTTCTGCATATTCGTGGTAGTGAAATGAAGACTTAGGCATGGAAAACCGTCGCCGTTGGATATCAGTCACAGATAAGTTTAGCTCACTCCCCATTGGGTGAAACCAGTGTCACAGGGCACAAGGCAGGGAACAACCCAGGATGGGGTGCCAACCCATCGCAGGGCACAAGGCAGGGAACAACCCAGGATGGGGCGCCAACCCATCGCAGGGCACAAGGCAGGGAACAACCCAGGATGGGGTGCCAACCCATCGCAGGTCATTGTTTAATGGCTTTAATTTAAGGAGACTTACTGAGCCCATTCATGCTCATTATTAGTGCTTTAAATTCTGAACTCAGGCAAATAAGCATTCAGCTGATGGCACCATCAGCTTAACATTTGCTTCTGAATACTGTGGAGGAACTTAATATTAGCACAAGATGATTTATAGTTTAATTTACTACTGCATTTTCAAAAAGGAAAGGAACTTCAGCCAACCGCCGCTCGCTTATCAACCAGTCTAAAGTCCAGACCTGAAATGCTGTGTTACTCTTGTGTGGGGTGAGGAGAAGGGCATTTTTTGGGAGGGAGATGGCACACGAGGAAGTAAACGGGTTTATCTAAGGCAAGCGGAGCCTGACTGTCACGGCCGGGTACAGCACCTGAGGGGACTGTGCATAGGACCCGTCACTGGCTGTTTGCCGGCACGCAGACAAAGGAGACGTCATTCCCACAGCGATCGCATCCACCATCCACCTGCTTCCCCAAAGCCCTAAGAAACCACTTAGAACCATTGATGGAAGTATCCAAATTTAATCTGGCGGTGACAAGGTGGTAAAGAATGGGGCTTTACTGAATATAACACTGTGTTATTCTCTAAGCTCTCCTCAAAGTAAACAAAATAAATATGACTTTCATACACAAAATCCAGGACATATTTCCCAAGGTCCCAGTGAGACTGCTGGCCACGGTGACTAATTCATCGCCTGCTTCCCCCTGGGCCAGAAAATTAAATATTTGGCAATGGAAATTTTGTTTTCATAAAATGACCCTGCCTTGGAACATAAAATTAATGACTGACTCAACAGGCTATCGATATCATTGAGAAGCACCGTATTTGAGAAACAAGCAACTCCATGTTGTTTGTAGATGACCAAGGTCTCCAATCTCTTTTCAGTTAACCAACAAAATTCTAAAGCAACCAGACAAACGTGAAGGGGGAGTTGCACGAACGTTAATTTGTCAGCGTTTCAGTATGGAACTAAAAGGGAGAAAATGCAGGGAAGGAATAGTGTCAAGGATACTGAGCACGTATTTCTGGCACAATGACATGGGAAGGGACTTCCTGAGGCAGAGGGGGAAACCGGTGCACTGATAAAAATACATTCTTTTATTGTTTACATTCAATCCTACACTTTCAAACACACACATACACATACACACACACACACACACACACACACACGGGGATTTCCCTTTGACTCTCCTTTTAATGTAACAATCCTTATCCCCAACCAACAAAAGTCAAACACAAGTGAAAACTGATACATTGATACATTTATAATGCAGCCAAATAAAAACACAGTGTTTGTTTTGTGGGGAAGTTCCCACGATGTCTGATTTTCAGCTTGATTTTCAGCTTGTTTGTGGGACTTAAACCTCCGCAAAAATGTGT